ATGTAGAATTTATTTCGCAAGGTTCTTAATAAATGCATTAAAGTTACAGAAAACACATTATTATAGCCTACAGACATAGAAATCGTCTGACTCAAAACGTGTAATGTGTATTCCTTTAACAAAATAAATATTTTTATAAAGAAGAACACACTACATACGTAGTTCCGGGCTCCCAGAAATGAAGTACTTCACCGTAAACATTAAAATTCCCTCTTTAAGTGAAACACAAACTAATGAGCTGATACAGACAGATCAGGGTCACCACTTCGAAATAACATCAAATGCAATGTGCTCTGCTCTGATGCGTTCAGTCCATGCCACTCAGTTTGTCTTAGCACTTAATACCACCACAAGCAACATCCGATGCGACGCGTTAAATTTACCTAAGACATTAAATATCCCTTTTCGGACGCGAGTTGAAACTGATAACACTAAAAGTTAGGACCTGCAAAACGTTTCCGAAAATGAACGTCTTTCCCTGCATAAAGTAAATCTCACTTCTAGTTCACCGACTGTAGGAGACGTAATCTTCAATCATGAAACAGGTATAAACCAGCCACGACCCAAAGCATTAATTCAACTGGCTGTTGCAAATGCCACAACGGCAGAGTTACAGTTTTCAGTTCAAATCTCGGTCGGTTTACCGGGTATACTAGTCCGACAATGTTTCCGTGGTTTACCTCAGTCACTGTAGTATACTCAGACAACGACCGCCTCCTTTCACGTCCTGACCTATTTGACGTTAATGGTCATCATATAGCCACTTTTGACTCCATCATCCAGTTAAAACTGTCTTTAAATACACTAATTTAATCAGCCAAGAATGTGTAGAGGGGCTAGGAAGCAAAGTCACAAAGTTATAAAATTCGACAGAAAAAAATCCACTTTCTTATCCTATATTCTGTAATTTTCAGGGTAAGTCCCTCCTGAAAAGGATCTAGGATCTAATTCCTTCAAGCTAAACCGATTCAACATTTAAGATCACTTCAATAAACTCGAAGAATTTCTAATGCGATTAGTTATTAAAGACAACGCTGGACGGAATTACAATGTTGACAAAAATGATGCAGGTAATTTTCTTCTTTTCGTAACAAAGGTTTGTTACTTCATTTTTAAGTTGGAAGTACAAATATTCTTTCTGTCGCTTTCTGGTTAGAAACTTATAAGAAAACTTCATGGCCAAAAGCCAAATCTTTCAGAAAGTAATTTTTCCGGTGCCCAACCTAAAGGACAAAGCCCATAATATTTTTAATGCATTAAATAACTCCTATAATGGAAGCGTATATTACATATATTTTAAAACATTTTTAATATGATAAAGAAAAATGGAGGTCTGCACGACAATATTCCCTTCAAGTACCTTTAACCCCTTTGCACCTTGAAACACTTCTTTACCCCGTTATGAACTTACTAACACTTTTATTTTTAACCGGAATATCACATTCATATGGAAGTGTCAAAAACGTCGCCTTCGTCTGTTTCCTCACTACAGTTTCCAGACGGGTCTATTTCCTGATTTCACTGAATTTTTCTCTTTGCATCACAAGAGTTCACATCCTCAGTCTTCAACGGATACACCCAGACGATTTGCAACACGTGTGAAAGGGACTGAAAAGAATGTTCTCTACTCAGACAGCTAACAGCAAGAACCCTTGAGGGCATGCAGCAGGTATGACACAGATGTCTCAAGTCTGGAAGCAATAGTAGAACACTTTCCACCGCATCAAAGTGTGTTTAGAATTCGTCCTGGCATACCAGCGTTCATGGATTCCCAGAATCAATTACTTTACGGTAGAGAGCTGTTCACGTACTTTCTGATTCACGCATCTTCTGTTTTCGTGATTTCATGCCTCACATTTCTAGAAACATCGACGATTCCATTTCGCGGAAACCGCTGAATAACAAGGCGAAGTTCAACCCTCCAGGACATTGGAATTACAGATGCTGAACATGAATGAGAAAACAGCCTTCTTAATAGCTGTTTCCTCCGTCTGCTCAACAAGCTTCCAAACGACTTCATTAGAAACCATTACGTGATTATCGAAGGTGCTTTCCCTGCATAACAATATCGCAGAAAATAATACTGGCCCACGTTTTAACCCTCTGAAAACCACTGATCATCTAAACCAGCGTTTCTCAACCTATAGTACGCGAGCCAATGTTGAGTGGTACGCCAACTAAATATGAACATCAACCAAGGATGAAATTAACTGAAATGGAACCTGACATACGAAAGTTGTGTTTCGCACAGAAGCCTAAATTGATCTGTCACGTATCCAAAAATAGGCTTTCTGTGCAATATGTTTGCACACTTTAATTTCCATTATTACTTGCTTGAATAGTTATTAAACTATTCACTACCTGAGTCTTTGTTTGCACATACCTTTCGGTATATTTTATGTAGCTTTTGTTTCAGTAAATGCAGTTAAGGAGAGAAACTGTTTCTCATTGAAGTACACGCACATGTGGTAACCGCGAAACGTTAGTTACGCGACTGGGGGCAGGCATCAAGTTTACCATGAACGCATTTGGTTATTGGTACATTTAATGTGTTAAATTAGAATTAGTGGTACGCCAGCGAAAAGGGTTAAGACCCACTGATCGAAAAAATATTTAAAATTGTAGTTCCTGCTCCAACCATAACGTGTCTTCATTACTAAATCAGTTGGTGAAAGTTGTTCAAAAATACGATCGCTATTTATTTTGAGAATAAAAACACATATTTTTGTTTCAATGAAATATTTGCTCCCGTCACGTACAAGGGCATTTATTTTCAGATCAGCCTTGTACTTGCAACTGGGCTTCAAAGGATTCGTCGTATGTCACCTGCTCCAAAAAAATTTGTCAGCGTCCGTCACGTTTGTTTGTACAACCACACCGTTCTGCGATGCGGAAAAAAAATGAAATTAAGTTCTGACTGTGGCGACTCTTGTAGGAAGAAATGCGAACAAGGTTAAGTGTTGCGGAACCTGCGTTTAGCGGACAAATTTAAAATCAGTTTGTGTTGGTGCGTTTGACTGTTACGATGTTTCTACATAAGATTTATTTAATAAATTCTGTACTCTCATTGTGATTTATAAATATAATGCTAAAGTAAACTGCAGTACTATTCAACATAAAAAGGTTCATTCCCGTCTACTTTGATGGTTTATATTACGCTAATTACAGTAAAATTTAATCAGCAGTGTAAATCTAGGCAAGATTATTGTCTGCTTCAGCAATATTCACCCAAAAACGTTCTCTGACGTAGTCCCACAAAATCTGTTAACACAGCTCCAGTTTCTTATTTTATTGGGGGGGAGGTACATTTCTCATTTTTCGGACACCATTTTACTTCTGAAAACCCGGCGATTAATAGGGAAGTGATTCATAATTTCTGTGCCTACATATTTCAACTCCCCAAAAATGATAATAATACATAATTATACACAATGAAACAAACTTACATCGACCGAATTATGTGAAAATCGTAGCAGAATAAAAGAAACAGTTGCCAAACCGTTCATAAAGACTGAACTGAAAATAAATGAGATTCGATATCTGACGTTGAAAGTGGTCAGTTACATTTGAAAATTATCTGGCGGTATATAAAATTTTACCCCAAATACGTACACTACAGACTACGGTAACGATGTATAGCGTTAGGGCACTTCACGTCCATAATGAAATTCCTGTATCATTCGTATACGGCGAAGTTTTCGAAGGCAAATTGCTACGTATCGAGAAGGGAGGAAACGATTCAACAAGTCCGCATTGCAGCTCAGTCGACTAGCAGCTCGGACCGTAATGAGCATGCTGATTGGGACCGCAGACTGCTGCAACACGTAGGAGTCAAGAGGGGGAACATGGCTGCAGCTTAAAATTGACGGCCTCAGAAAAGGAAACTAAGTATAAACTAACAAACACCGAGGAAATACAAAGAAAATAAGACTTCAAGAAATTAGCTACACAAAAATATATAGAAATGAAACATGAAATAAGATGAATAACTTATTTGTACAGAATATTCATAATTCTTAATTAAACCAACAAAAATTACACATGAAACTGAGGGTAGCGTATTATATAACAAATAACTATAAATAAATAATTAGTAGCATATAAGCACTAGGCTGGTCTGTATAAAATTCACTTGTATGTCACCTGAATAAGACAGCAACAAGCCGAAACATGTTCACCCACAAAATATAAAATATGATAACACCGAGGCCAAATAATGAATATTCCATAAATACATGTTTGAACAAGTGGAATAGAAATCAGTTCAATATTCTGTTAGCTGCTAAGAACATGGAGAAATAAAGTTTCACTGTGGGAACAGAACGGGCGGAATGTATTCAAACACTACAAAGCCTTCCCTTCAGCCTTAAAACTTAATTCATCGATTCCCACTGCCAGACATTTATGAGACTCCTACTCAAATTCCCCTCCGACATTCACCATGAAGACGGAAACTTAAATGGCCATCGAAACATTCAACTCTCGACTCCGTTTATCACAGGAAACCTTAACTATACATTACAGTCTTCATAAACGTGATTCAGACGAGAGAATAAGAAGGTGACAATCTAACGACTTAATGTTATGAAGAACACGAAATCTGGAAAAAAATAACTTACCATCAGTTTAAAGAGGTGTCAAAAATCTATCACTACCATTTTAAATCTCAAATGTTTATAATCACCAACACATTAAAACTAGTAAATAAAAATAAAATAAACACAAAGGTAATGATAAACCTACGATCTTCTGAGTACAGAAATTCCTGATGGTAGCAGATATTATATTCCTAAATATATATGTTTGATTTCCTGTAGCGGGAATTATCATTCCTATATTTTTATCTCCAACGTGAACTGTTTATTCCATCTACACAACGATGAAGGCAACAAGCACCTCTTGGGACAACCAGCCATCTTCTAATTACGTTCAGTAACCTGAGGAGCTCGTGTTCCGACTCCGTCCCACAAACGAACTATCTAACGAACAGCGGTACTCACATTCGTCGTGGTCCTTGGCGGTGACGGTGAGTACGGTGTGTTGGATGTCCTCGTTCTCATCAACCTCAGCCTCGTACAGCGCCTTGTCGAAATACGGCGGGTTGTCATTCTTGTCGGCGATGCCAATGCGGATGAACTTCGTCACTGAAACAAAAAACGGACGTGCCGCGGTAAGAGCTGATTCATTCTGCCTCTACGGAACAAGGAGCTTCTTCAGAAGACGACGGTAGCACAAACGTTCAAGACATTCCCATTCTTTTACGGAAACTGAAGTTTCAATACCGTATTCACGACGGCGTCACCAGACACTAAACTGAGCAAGATTAATAATATAGTCCAAATCCTCCCACTCTGTTCATATATGCCACATTTTATAACATTCGGTCATAATCATATGAGCCCTAAAAAACATAATAATCTCTTTTCTCTCATTTGCGTTCAAAGAGGTCTGTTCTCAGCAATCTTACCAAACATCCTCAATATATGATCTTTCCTTAGAACCAGAGAACATCAAAATACGGATGTCTTTAGGGATGTTACGACTGTAGTCTGGTAGAATATTACTAACATTTCATAGACCCTTGATGCCTCAATCATGATCAGGGCGATTATGGAGGTAGCATGAACCTCTGAAACGTCGGTAAACTTCTACCCGACTACACACGTTACAAACCAGAAAACATGTACTTACCTGATACAAAATGTTATTTTTTAAGCATATGTTTCCGCCCAGTAAATCAACACTATCAGCCCAGACCAGAATGTGGAATATCCGATTTAATCCCTGATGGCACTAACTTCAAGAGTTTTCCTTGAACCTTTCTATAGGAAAATATAAAAGCAAATGTGATAAAGCATCTCCCTAGTTCAAACCATCTTGAAGAGGATCTTTACAGTCAGAACAGATTAAAATAGGCGTATTTGTTCAGTCCTTATATACAATTCATTATCACAGTTATGATCGAACCACAACGAATATATTGTAATTAAATAACCAACGAACTGACTAAATAAATAAATAAAGCATCACAATGCAGATATACGAAACAGAAATATACGCCAATGAGAACTCATATTACGATCCTGTCGCGCCTTATTACAAAAACAGAACAATGTTGTAGCTGTTTGCCATCAGACAGTCAGAATGAAATGGATACAGACGTCAAATTTACGGTTAAATTAACCCTTTGGACTCTGATAATTATGACAGATGATTATAGATTTAGCACAGTGAATGTGTTGGTACTCTGCCTGTCATTCTCAATATTACTGACTCTGGATACCCCATGGTTCAATCGGAGAACAGATTTTCATTTCATGGCCATAAATGTTTCGCATTATCGAACTGAACCCACTCTGTACTCGTATTGCAGATACGTCATAATTACGTTATAACGATAAACTGCATACGCTGAGTACTACCACATCGGTTGAAGTCAATTTCAACAACAGATGAAATAATTAATTTTGATTACTAATTTAAAGTCTGTTTGAAAACGTTATATTTATTGGAGCATGTAAATGAGATTCCAGATCACTGGAGTATGTTCGAACAGGCGATATGACCTGAGTAAAAAAAACTATTTATGCCAGATTCCGCCTCAAAATTCCAAGACAATTGATGTTTCAATAAAGGAGTACGAAAATTCTGTGTGTTGGTTCCCAATCGTCATTCGTCTTTATCTACCTGCACAACAAAAATATTTTCAGAAGCACAAATAGTTCTCGATTTAACATTGTCTGAACTTCAGATGTGCGTCCTCGAATAGAATGTTAACCACCTTAAATGAATCAATAAACGAACCTATGTATAGACCAGTGCGACACGGTTAAATGCCGACGTTGCAGGTGTGGAATCCGTCCAAACAGAACTAGCAGGCGAGCAGCCATTCTGTTCCCAGCCGAAAATCAAGAGGGCACAGCGGTGTTCTGAAACCCTGAAATCTCTGACAGTACCACCCTCAAGATAACACCTTCCAGTTCGCTTTTGAGGGTGCGGCATAACGCTCAACAACGTAAGACTCATTAAATATTTTAAAAAGGCGAGTCTTTACAAACGCGTTACAAAAATTAGGGCGAGAAACAACAAATTTTCAGTCCGGAGTACATTGGAAAGTTTCAGAAGCCTACCGTGCGCCAGTTATAACAAGAAATTTCAACAAAAGACTATGACGTATGAAGGCTTTCTTATAATTCCTTACAATGTCAATATTTCATGCGATATAAATATAAATTACGTTACGTATTTTGAAAGGCAGAAAAGTAAAGGTCCAATCACAGAAAATTTTTATTACACAATGCTCTTTGTACGATATTACGTTACGTATTTTGAAAGGCAGAAGAGTAAAAGTCCAATCACAGAAAATGTTTATTACACAATGCTCTTTGTACGACCCAGTTAAATGGGAAATGAGTCTACTAAGATTTACAGTGTGTTGGCAGAGCCCGAAGGCCGTGACCGGACACGATTTAGTTGTATGACGGAAATACTGCAACATACTCCTTAACTACCCAAAAGTTAAGACATTCCAGTTAACATTTGACCCTTCTACTTGAAATATCGTTATCGTATAATATAATAAATCGAATAATCAACCAATTTTTGCAGCATATAAGTGAGCTTATGATGATCAAATGAAATAAACAGATACATTTTACTATCTTATTTAACAGTCCAATCAGTGAGTTATAATTCAAGTCAGTTATTACATGTTTCAACACGAATCGATTATTCAGGTGACACCCATTCTACACAAACTACCCACCAAAGATTTTTCATACAATGCTTCATTCTACTGCCTGCCCTGCAGTACCCACGAGTTACAAGACGTTTCCACATACAGTGGCTTAAGTCCTCTTTCTAGTTTCATATCATACATATCGCACATTATGTAAGTTCGTGTACTAAACAAAATTAAGACTTACCTCCTAAAATGGCCACTTAATGGTTGCAATGCACCCACTACTACTACCACAAAGCCATTCTACGTTGTGTTCGCTGTCATAACATATCCACAGCAGCGCCAGGATTGTTCTGCTGTTATTGTGTTCTATGACTCCATATTAACTATATTCATACTTCTATGTTTCGGCTAGCCGGCCCTAGTTAATACGCCGAATCACAATAATGAATGCAAATGTTTAATCACGCAACTCCGAAATACACGCGTCTACCTCTTTTGAGGTACTATCCCAGACTTAGCTGTCTGACGTGTAGGAGGGGTGGGGGAAGAATGCTTGCTTTCTATTGGATCCTTAAGTCAATCAGGCAACAACAGGAAGTTGAATACGTCATACTAACACAAACTCCTACAACTACAAAGATTCCACGTAATACAAACAAAGAGGCTTTTAATAAAGTAATGATACGTTACGAAATAGTTCACCCATTATATACAGAAGATAAATTAGACTACCCACTTATATAAAGTCAAAAAACCTTAATGGACATTATGGATTATTTGTAAACATTAGAAAGTCATAACCAAAGTAAAATAAGTACGGAATTATGTATATCTTTAATGCTACTTTAAACTCTGCCTTTTTATTTACAATTCTTGTGAGACGATCGTAGACCTTAGAAAATGATAATGTATTGTATAATATACACTCTTCTGAGTAAATGAGAGGTTCGCAATTGGTCTATGAAGCCGAACATTGTTGTTTGTTGTTGTTGACACTGTGTACAGCAGGGTTAGTTTTAAAATGATATTGGTTATTTACAACGAAGTTTATTACTGAGAATATTGAAGAATTAAAAGGTTTAACAACAAAAATTAATCTAACAATTTTCTTTTTTTAAATCGAATATTTTCTTAGATGTATTATCACAATAATTACCCCGTTCTTCACAAAGGAGTCAAAATGGGTAAAATAAAATGATCAGAGTGTGTCACTGTTGCTGACATACAACATAGATCTAACTCAATAATGTACTCAACGAAACTATCAGTTTATCAACATGATTAGTTCAATTTCGGTGGTTATCAATTTGCAAGACCAGAAATTTCATATTTAGTATGTCTTGCATATTATTTCCATTAAAACCAATACTTGTAGTATATTCTAGTGAGTTTTGTCATACCCATGGCTTGAGAGAGTAAGCAAATTTGGTGGTTACTACGAGTTCATATAAGGTTTTAATATTTCCAGTATGGCGACAAGTGTTTTACGTTTTACTTTATTTTCCATTACATAATGATGTCAGTTCTACGTCACTGCCTGCTGTTACTTTCGATTAGTACGCCTATTCAATTTTTGCCCTGTACTCTGTTTTAAAAGCAAATTGTACGCATTCTTTACTAGCGTCTGATGCGTAACCCGCCTGAAATTCTATGGAAGCTGGCATTATTCTGTACCGGCAACTTTCAATTCCTTTAAAATTATCTTTAATATCATCATTCTATGTAAGTAATTTGTTCCCTTTAGGTTTCCCGAGCAAACCTTTGTACGCACTTATAATCAATTTATATAATCCGCCAGCCTTATTATCATTGATTCCGTCACCAAAATAACAGTAGCCTAAGGGACGCACACGGAACATGAAGCTACGAAATTTTCTCCATCCTCTTGGGTACAAATATTCACACCAGAATTTTGTTATAAAAATCCGGTATATTTCAATATCCGGGCGTTTAGATAAAGAGCATGGATATAAAACTTTCTGAACTGAATGCTAGCGAGCATAAAGAACAAGTAAGAAGAATCCTGTCTCCTGGGTTATAGCATCGTGTTGTCTGGTATACACAGTTGGGCCCACTAGATAGAGCTAATCCCTATCTCCGGACCATCTCCGAAACGTCGTTTTACGTTTTATATTTACTAGACGATGGATAATATCCAAGAAAATTTTTATTCAATCGACTCTTCACCATCGTCAAGAAGTTTTAGGTTTCAGAGACCCTTTACCAAACTACAATGTCCTGCAAACCCAGAAGACAGCCAGCATCATATTAGAAATTAGAAGAACCTGAAATCCTCTTAAGTGGAAGCAATATCATTATTCAGAGTTACTGTGTTCCATATTCATCCACTTCCCTTATTTATCAACCAAATTCGCTCAGTGGTTTCTTGCCGATGAATGTTATCTGAATGTGACAGAGCGTTCATAAGAAAACGACACCAAACTATTGAACATGGTTTTA